AATGGCATCGATGGCTTTCTGGTTGAGGTTCGCGACGAGCGTGTTGTCTTCGTCGTGGAACTCGTTGTTCGTGTCGAATATGACCTTGCTGTTGGATGCGTATCGTTTCGCCATCGTCGACCACCATGATCCGAATCCGTTTACGTCCGTGATGATATTGTTGTAGTATCGCCCGAAGTTGTGCGGGTCGATGATGGCGTAGGCGCCCCTGAAGACACCAGTTAGTTTATGGTGTGTCCGTCATCCACCAGAGCTCTTCCCATAAGCTGTAAGTTAACTTTCGATCGCCCCTGTCCTCGACATGGTAATGCTAACTCTGCTAGGCTGGGGTCTGGAGCGCGTATGCGGAGATAGAGCTGTGAGTTTGCTATATAGGAAGACTAACTGTCCGGTGATATAGTTGACAATCTAGAGGGTACGGTCAGCATAATTCAGCTTCACCTTGGAGAGGGTGAGGAGGCTTTACACTGTCGAGACCTTCAGCATAGGTAGCGTTCACAGTTCCGGTCATCTGGTTGGGGATGAAGCGCTCCCTGGTCTCGTCTTAGCACTGGGCATGGTCCTCAGACTTCAAGAACATCGGAGCTACGAACATCATAATGGGAATTCTGAAAGTGTTCATCCCTTTTCCGATCATAGTCTAAGTAGATGAGCAAATATCAGCTTCGCCGCCTCAGATTGTATGATAGAAACCTATAGGAAACCTACGTTGACGGCATTCTGGTCTGGCCATGTGTAATCCTTCCCTAACCTACCGGGCAAGGCCGTGTTGCCAAACTCAGCACCAGACTCGTTGACGCCGACGAACTGGAACTTGCTCGCTCGCTTCTTGGTTGCTGGCGCGGCGACGGCGCTGGCGATCGTAGCCGCTGTGACGAGGACCTCGACGAACTTCATGATGGGCTAGACGTTGGGAACTCTACAACAGGATGCCTAGGGTGAGATGCCTGGTCATCGTATGACGAGCGAGGCATTATATAGAACGCCTCATGGGGCCACTTGCGCTTGCTTATATGTCTTACAACAATTCACAGCTGAGCAGATACGCAGAAAACGAAACGAAATGACACGAAATGGCTTTGAGGCGGAGGTCATAGCTCCGCCTCGCATAAGGGCAGGGAAGATCATAGTAATTAAGAGGAGGCAGCATCCAGTGTCGAATAGCATGTCGAGAGGCACTGCCAAGATGGAGTGATCTGTGATCGTGCCGACGAGCCTCATCATGAAACTCCACAATTCTCGTGATAGTCTCCGTCATATACCGGCAAACAGAATGCTAAGGCGGGTCATATAGCTCCATGGAAACCGCTGAAGGCTTTTATTTCGTGGCCAGGGGCCACATACTCATACCGATATCTCGGCTCTGTCTTGCAGGCGTTGGGTGTTGTCTCCATCATGAACTTGGTATGGTAGGTATCGGTAGCAGGTCATTCATGTCAAGATACATTGTCTCAAACGTCCGTCATCACGGAAATGTGAAGACAGATCCCGTCAACCTAAGCACGATGACGGAATAGCGAGGCAGGACTAGGTGCATATTCACGCGGCCTAGCCATCCAATATTAAACCTCCCAGAGTTACCATGGCTCTTTTGAGGAGGGGCGGGGATTCGCGCTCCGTATCTCGGTAGCAAGGAAAATCCAAGCTGGAGAGGGCGTTCCTCGGAGACGAATTCATGTATGGGGACGTTTACAGAAAGGCGTTGAACATATAGGCAAATATATAGGTATGTGATGAGCCAACCAGAGGATAAACGGGAATTGGCATGGAGCTATGGGGCAGTTCCGGGGCGCTTAGCCCCAGTTTTAGCTCCAGATATTGCCGAGCCGTCAAACTGGTGTGTCGGTCTGTCAGCCAAAGACGAGAAGCAACGCTCTGATAATGCGATAACGTGGAATTTGAGATGCGGCCTCGCGATCATTAAGTGGAAGCATCAAATATTCAACCTCACGACAGGACACTGTTGTCGCATAGCCCAACAAGATGCAGCCCACGCGGTGTCTGCTCAAAGGCCGATCCGTGTGGAAAGGTAAGCCCTGTTTCCCATGATCATCATCTAATAAGACGGAAATCCAACTACCTGTGATAGTGATCTATGCTAACCATGGTCGTTCCTCCTAACCCAGGTCCGCATATCGTCCCGTAAGGCAACTCCAACACCCCCTTTCCTCGAATAAATAGATAGCCAAAACATACGAGAACCCACGCGAGCGAAGGGAGAGAACCTACAAAACTCCTTAAAGCCTTTCTGCTAGCTCAGAGCTCCGAACCAATATATAACAAATTTCAAATTTAAAGACCAAGATTCTGACGCAAGGCAACGCAGTCTCCCCATCACACGCCCGAAGCCCGGCGAGAGGATAAAGCCCATCAGGACGCAGGCGCGCGCCGCCACGATCCTGCCCAACTTCGTGGGCCTCAAGTTCCAGGTGTACAATGGCAAGGTGTACAACGACGTGACCATCACCGAGGACATGGTCGGACACAAGCTGGGCGAGTTTTCTCCGTGCGTAGAATTACCCCTTTCAAATCCGTCACACCAGTTCTTATCTTCTTTCGTTATCGTCGTGGATTTATGTTGGATTTATGTTTTGAGTGCGCTAAGCTGACTTGACGTCTTCGTATGACAGGACGAGAAAGCCCTTCGTCTGGGCGAGAGCTAAATAAGCGGGGGTAATCTGTTGATGATTACGATTCTATGACTGCTGGTAGAAAGAACAGACAAGGGAGAAAAAGAAGTGGAAGAGAGCTGTACAGCATACTCAACGGCGGGTTTATATCACGAACTGGAAGCAATGAGGCGACAGGGGGTCTATATGTCACGCTTCTAAAATGTGTATTACCAAATCTGAAATGTAAATTGACACATAAAAAACTAGAAACTCAAAACAATTTTGATAATCATTTCAATTGTGTAGGCTCTCTTAGTGTAAGACATAGAGTCGAAAAGCCCCCAAAACTACTGTTGTATACATGGAAATAATTCGTGAATTATGCAATCCCTGCCCTTCCCAGTGTGCGGTCCCGACCATGCTTCAGTCAGCCGCTATATAATGTAGAATGCTCTCTGTAAGCCCTGAACGCCGTACGCCCTCTCTCTAAACCGCGATGGAATATGCCTCTGTAGTAAAACGTATGATGGAAACCCAACTTTGCAACGTCACAATCCCTATGGCGTGATATAGAACCTGGGATGGGTATAGTAGCAGCGCTACGATGATGACGAATCTCGTCTATCGGTAGAACTCGCTACGCTTCACGTTAACACCGTACTCGCCGACGGCCATACCGAGATCCTCCATGGTGAGCACGGTGCGGTTCTGGCTGCCGCCCTGGCCGCCACCGCCGTAGCCGGCTCTTTGGATGCCCAGTGGCGCGCCTCGCCCTTGGTCTTTGCCCCCGGCGGGTGCTTGGCCCGGCACCGTGATGCCGGCGGCCGCGCCGAGGTTGCCCATGGGGTTGTTGGCGCTCGTGTTGGACGCCCGGATCCGGCTGTACTGGTACGCGTCGGCAGCGACGTCGGCGACGAACTTCTGCACGGCGAGCGCGATCAGGCGCGCGAGGCGGGGGTCCGTGTGCGGTGGCGGGGGGAGACCGGCTTTGGTCATGTAGTAGTTTGTTACGGCGTCTGGGATCTTTATGCAATGGTTAGCTCATATGTGCTTGCTTGCTGATTATGATAGGGGGAGAGAGCGGGAATAAGCCGGGACAAGGGAGGAAGGAAGGAAGGAGGAAGGAGGAACCTTACGATGGGCGCATAGTCATCCATCTTGGATAGGAATTCCTTGAGCGATGTGTCTTTCTTGTTCGCTAGCTTGGCCTCTATCGGTACCGGATGCTGTTCTTCATTCTGCGGTGCGCTGCCCGATGGGACTTGCTCGTTCTCTGTAGGTGCGTTCGCCATTGTGTAGTATGTGTAGTGGCGATCAGGTGTAACTGGGGGATTCTCGAGAAGAAAAGCGCGGCTCGCCGCTGGATTTCTCGGTGGTGGAGAGATGTTGCGTTGTTGGATGATGGGATGGGTAGTTGTTTAGTTCAAGAGGTCCTGCCGAGGTCGATGCGGGTTTCCCGAGTTGTAAGTCGCGGTGATGCAACTTGTACAAATGCACGCGCAGACTTAGGTTATCCGAGGAGCAAGATCACGGCTCGAAAACGCCGAGTAGCCCCTGGTGGTGTTCGCTCGCGTGAATACGTTACGAATGTGAATTGATACCAGCTCGTGATTGCGCAGCGAAGTTGCAGTGACTCGTATGATGTGTAGTGTAGTTGATGATGAAGTTGAGAAACGATAGTTGGCGAATTAGCGAGCGGCCCCGGATGTAGGTGGAGAAAGACTGGCTGGGGTGGCTGAATTTAAGCTGTGGTCTGTGCACCTTTAAAAAGCTAAGGGTCCTCAGTTCTTGAATTTCTATTGGACAGAAAATGCACAGGATTCATCTTTCACCGGCATCTCGAACTTGCGCAACCCATTTTTACATGGTTTAGAAAAAGAAAAAGGCAATAGGAATAAGAAAAGAGAGAAACAAAAAAAAAGCTCCAAACCCCGACTTTTTGCATTCCTGAATCGTGTAATCTATAGAACAATTATAACTGGATTAATTGCTCAGTTAGGCAATGCTATGAGGCTCCCATGTCGTCTTGCTTTGTCATGTCGGAACATGTCCTTAAACCGGTCTCACGCCGCACGCTGGCATAACGCCTGAATGCCGTAATAATATAGAACAGCACGTGGCCATGCTTCGGCCGGGATTCCTACTTGCACGGCTAACCCCGCGGCTGCTTGCCCGAAATCTTACCCGGGAGTATTAGCTGAGCCGGAAGCCTACAGATCCAACCACGGAATGAATGCAATTACGTCAAAATAAGTCTCTACGCTGTGATTTTCCTCCACTTAGTTACTCGCCGCTAATGAGAACTTATTCTGCATCTTTCCCACACAGATTCAGATCTCACGATAGTGCACTGTGCCCTCCATCCGGGAAACCAACTATCGATTCCAAGGCTTGGTGGTCTAGCGGTATGATTCTCGCTTAGGGTATACTCTATTCCCGACAAGCTGGTCCGTTAGGACAGCCGCGTTTGCGAGAGGTCCCGGGTTCAAGTCCCGGCCAAGCCCGTGTCATTCGATTTTTTTGTTGATTCTCCATGCGCTGATGTATTTTTGCTGATTTTCAAACCTACTAACTAACACCTGAATTCGGGGTCTTCCTTTTGGAACTACCTCCACAGAGGGAGTACTGCACCCTAACTGAAACCTTCTTTGGAATCTAGTTCTGCTAGAATCGTTTGTTTGGCGGTGATACATACTTAAATGAAGCTGAGATGGACCGGACAGGTGAACAACCTTAAAACAACACAGGCAATAGAGATCTACGACACACTCACACAACTATTGAAGATACGGGCTAATAAATGAACTCCCCACAAGAGGTTCCTGAGTACAGCCTACTGAGGTCCTAGAAAAGCCAACATATTTGTCTATACAGCTTCTGTGATAGTATCGAGAGTTTTGAGGTTGCTTTATGCCGGCCGTCCAGAATAGACTGCATCAATGGGCAGTGCCGAGTCCTGATAAGATAGAGAGGTTTATGAAGTGCCCGGAGAAGATTGTCAAAATAGCCCGTACGTCATCTCGCAACCTTGGGAATTCTTGAACATTTAGGTGGTGGTTGATTGGCCAGAGACTGTATTACCTATGTTCTCTGTCTTGGGAGAGAGACACTTATGCCGATACCGACACTTGAACATGAAACACGACCTGGATCTTTTGGGCGCAATATTTGCTCGACCAGGTAACCGGTCATGACATGTATGTTCACAGCAGAAGAACAGGATGAGAAGACCTCATAATTCTGTAACACACAGTTACGTGGTGTGTACATAGATGTGGCCATGACAATCCGATGTCAGTAAATGACCTGTATACGACGTCCCACCAAGTTGATGTTGTTACAATAGCAGCGTGGGTTTTTAGTGACTCAGCTTTTATACTAGTTATTTGTTTTCTATCTAATAGAGATAGTCTGGTCTACTCTCTGGAAAGCTAGACTCGACAAGCTATCAGGAAGTCTTCCTTGTTACTATTATGGCAAAGGAGGGGATACAATGCAGGCTGTAAGCGCAAGTTGAATCTCTGTCTAACTTGAAGCTTTTTTTTTTTTTTTTCTGCCAGTTTGTCTAACCTGATTGGGGTCTGCTTGGCAGCATTGAACCATTACTAGGTAGGGTCTTCACATGCACAGGCCAAAACCCTTCCCCACTGCTCACGCATACCACGCTATCACTACTACCACTGTAACCCGGCAGTCGTAAAATATTGGTAGGTAGATTCACGCCAAGTACAGGCGTTACAGTACATGGAATACCTAGGTCAGGTACCTCAAGCTGTACCTAGGTAGACTGATACCTCATTGACCCATTGATTCAGGGTGCCCCATCACCGCTGAAAACCCCTCGGAAGCTTGAACTTCGGCTTGTGTTAAGATGGCCAGTCCTGACTGGCTCCTGGTCCTGGAAACTCTTTCTTTTCTTTGTTAGCTGTGCTGCATCAACATCAATTGTTGCCCTTCTATCTTCTGTGTCTGTACTAGGTAATACATCACGTCAGTTCCGCAGTTGTCGCAAATCCAATCCTCGGTGCACCCCGCGAATCCCACGACCGATTCGAGCCGATTGGCCTGTTTTCCGCGTGTAGCTGCTGAGACAGCTCACTTTTTTTTTTTTCTCGGGCTCTTTCTTGCTCCCCCAGCCAACTAGGTTCCAGCAGCAGCACACTCTGCGCAGCTGAGGTCTGTGTGCATTTGGGTTTACATAAAACCATCGATTCCCAATTGTGTCTTGCACAGCTTCCCCTCCTTCCTTTGGTCACAATGGGCGACATGGCGAACGAGATCAAACTGCTGTCGGGAAACAGCCACCCGGTGCTGGCGAGCATGGTCGCCGATCGGTAAGCTGATTTGATTTGATTAACTGCGTTGCTTTACGTCTTCACCTGTCATTTTCTTATCTCTGATCATCATTCTGTTGTTTGTTCTGCGCCCGTTGCCGAAAATGGCACCTCTTGTTCTCCCGTGCGACGCCGTGAACGGCTATTAAAGGCATACCCAACACACATGCACACCAACCAGCGCCCAACTTTTGTTCCATTTGCGCAACCTGCTACAGTTTGATTAGGTCATTCGCAACCTCGCTAACAAGGGTCCTACAACTAGGCTGGGCATTGAGGTCGCAAAGACCCTCAGTCTCAACTACTCTAATCAGGAGACCAGTGTCACAATCGGCGAATCTGTTCGCGACGAAGATGGTACGGTGTACCACACTACACCTTGAACCCAAAGCGCACTATTTATTCTGACACAATATGCTATTTCATAGTCTTCATCCTGCAGTCCACTGCGCCGGGCGATATCAACGATGGCCTGATGGAGCTTCTGATCATGATCCACGCTTGTCGAACCGCCAGTGCGCGACGAATCACCGTCGTCGTCCCCAACTTCCCGTACGCGCGACAAGACAAGAAGGACAAGAGCCGTGCTCCTATTTCTGCTAAGCTCATTGCGAACATGCTGCAGACGGCTGGCTGCAACCATGTTATCACCATGGACCTGCACGCTTCTCAAATCCAGGGCTTCTTCAACGTCCCGGTAGATAACCTCTACGCCGAGCCTAGCGTCCTGCGTTGGATTCGTGAGAACCGGGGCACCGAAGACGTCGTCATCGTCAGTCCAGACGCCGGTGGCGCCAAGCGGTAAGTGACTTTTTGGCATGGGCGGTCATGGTGGCCGTAAAGCTAACGTCACTCTTCTTCATATAGAGCTACTGCCATCGCCGATCGCTTAGACCGAGGCTTCGCCCTTATCCACAAGGAGCGCCCCAGGCCCAACGTTGTCGGACGTATGGTGCTCGTCGGAGACGTGGTAGACAAGGTCGCGATCCTCGTCGACGACATGGCAGACACCTGCGGAACCCTAGCAAAGGCCGCCAAGACGGTCAAGGAGCACGGCGCTGCCGAGGTCATCGCCATTGTGACCCATGGCATTCTGAGCGGCGATGCGATCAACGTTCTTAATGAGAGCTGTCTGAGTCAAATCGTCGTCACCAACACAGTCCCTCTTGGCGACAAGGTGGATCGGTGCAGCAAGCTGCGTGTCATTGATATAAGCCCCACGCTGGCCGAGGCGATTCGACGAACACACAACGGAGAAAGCGTCAGGTAAGCCGATATCCCGCTTGTCCCGTTTCCCATTCGACGATTTGACTGACATGGTTGCAGTTTCTTGTTCAACCATGCTCCGGCTTAGTAGCGGTTGGGAGCATATGGGCAGGTGATTGATTTGACAACCCAGGAACAGGGAAAAAAAATTATTTGCATGGGGGATCTTGTGATATAAATTGTCTCTGCAGGGTTGTAATTGGCGTTAATGGTATAGGGACTATCTGCACAAGGTGAGCCGGTATGATTGCATATAGATTCCCTCAAAACACATAGGTTTCGAGGACGTGATGAATTGTCTTGACATAGAGAAATGCATGTATCTATGGAAGGTCGGAGTTATGTCAAGTGAGTAAGCGTATTTGCATCAAATTGGCAGATGAAATCACGGAGTTTGGGTTGTAGTATACCCTTGTTGGGATAGACGAGAACAAATACAATTGTCATTTACGAATTGCTAAAAAAGTGAAAAATGCTCTGTTGGGAATCTGAATCTCATTTCAATTTTTGAGGCCTCCGGGGAATACACTAAAGCCGATTTGTTGGCCTATCTAGAGCCACTCTCGTGGCTATCCCGTGATGCCTGCCATAGCCATGATTTTCATGCCGAAATGCAACAACCAGAAGACACCGACCGAACGCCTGGAAGCATCTACTTGCGCATGGAGCTTGCCCTTCTCTTACGGGCATCAGCCTTAGAAGAGCGCTTCTCGGCGACACGTTTGGCCAAAATCTGAGCATACTCGGCCTGTAAAAGACATTTGTTAGGGACACAGTCACGGAATCAGGTACTTTGTAGGGTTGGAAGACGTACGGCCTCGTCCTTGACCTTCTCGGCCTGGCGGCGCTTGAGCGCAATGCGGTGGCGCTTGTGCTGGAGACGTTGGGGAGTAACCAGTCTCTGGATACGGGGAGCCTTGGTGTAAGGCTTCTTGCCCTCGCCCTTGGGCTGGACCTCACGTCGGATAACGTACTTTCGGACCTATTCAATGGAGTGGGAAACACCCCAAGATATTAGCCATCCCGTCTTCCCATTTTTCATGTATTTGTCCTCTCAGACTCTACTTCGGTGGTTACATTGCAAGGGATTCTTCTCTCTCATCCCGCAGAAGCAACGACCGAGTAGGTGATGACGAGTGTTGTAGTGCTACTTACATCGTCATCCTTGCTGAGGCCGAAGAAGCGGCGGATCTTGGTGGCACGCTTGGGACCGAGGCGCTTGGGGTGGACGACGTCGGTGAGGCCGGGGAGCTCGGCTTCGCCCTGCTTGACGATGGAGAGGGCAAGGACAGCCAGGTCCATGCCGACGATGCAGCCACGGACGGACTTTCGCTTGCGCTCACCGGCACGGCGGGGTCGGTAGCAGGAGTGGCCTTCGGAGAGTAAGAGTCGGACACGGGTAGGGTGCAGGACACCCTGCTTCATGGGGAAACCCTGCTTGTCGTTTCCACCGGTGATGCGGAAGATGTAGCCCTTGAACTCATCGCCGAGGTTGTCGCCGGGGACTTCCTGGCCCATCTGACAGCAGCACCACGTTAGCAACCCAATTCACGTCCATTTGATATTCCAGCGTATTGTTCTTTTCGACGTCGAGAAGGTCGCACAAGGCCTGTCGTGAAAAGAGAGTCTGTCTTTTCAGGCTGGCATGTAGGGACCGTAATTGTTCTCTCGGCTCATCGAATTGCTCGCTACTATCAAGCGTCGAAAAGAACGGCGGAATGGCATCGGAAAGCGGGAAACGTACTCGCTTCTCCATGAAGTCGCGGAGCTTACGCTCATCTTCGATCTCGATGAGCTTCTGGCTGCCATTGGCAGGATAGGAGATGTTCAGCTTCATCTCGGCGGTGGGTGTTGGCGATCGACTTTGGGTGACGGGGATTGAGGGAGGGAAGTCAAATCGTGAC